GCTGGCCCCATGGCAGGGCATAGCAGAGTAGCATTGCAAGGGAGAAACAGTCCGTAGCAGGCAGAAGGCAGTAAAGTGGCAATTATCGCAGCAGCAAGAGACCACAACAACCTTCCTTCTGCCCCTTGTATTCTATCCCGGCTACCTGCTTAGCACACACTCCCAGGGTGGGCATTCCTGTCCAGAACTGTGCTAGATCAATGAATGGACTAATTTAGTAATCATACACCCTTAACCGCAGTATCAGATACGTTATATCCAGGTACCTCTGAAAAGCCCCACCGATGACCCCATGAGACTTTGGGAAGACATCTAGACACAGCCATAGCACCAACCTCACACAGGCCTTAGCTGGCACTCAGTTTTTTTTCATTCCTATTAGTTGTTCCCTAAAATTCACACAGCAGGTGATATATACCTCATGTAGACGTAAAACTCATCCTCAACCAATCTCTTTCATCTTTGGATGACCTTATTGCACCATTTTACTGGGATGAAGGCCCTGGATATAACCTCCTTCAATTTTCTTGCTTTCAAGCATCTTTAAAATCACAAATAAATGATGAAAAAAAAGGAAGAAACCACATTCATAGTGATAATTTATTCACAGAATTATTGGACATATTCTCCATATATTATAGAGTAACTAGTGGAAGACTTCACAGTATAGTTAAGAAAATCAACCTGCATGTGATTATCTTTCAAGGTAGACAAAGCAGAGTGCTAATTATAAAGCACTAAAGCTACAGGAATAGACTTTTCTGGCAGTATTGTAACAGGGATTGAACCCAGGGCCTTGCACATGCTAGACAAACACTCTGCCATGAGCTACATCCCCAGATGTAGGAGACGAATCCTTAATCTTGCTTACTATCCTGGTTAACAAGTTACGATTTACAGGTCAGAGGGGAGATGGCAGAGTGGAAAGCACCAGGACCATCTCACAGCCTGGATCACCACTGTTGACAGAGCCTCCCTGATGAAACAGGAGTCTACTGAAGGCTTGCAATTTCTAAGGAAGGCCCGTGTGGAAAACTGTTAATTTTGGTCAATTTCAGCTCTTGGCACCTGATAGCAGCACTCAGGCTCCAACCTCCAACCCTGGGGCAGACAGCCACATACTGGTTTCTAAGCAGCTTCCAAGTGGCCTGTGGGAGCCAAGGCTGATAATAAGGAGTCTCTCCTCCAATAACTGGGTTTCTGGGCCCTAACCACTAATTGTTGCCTCTGATCAGGGAAATGCACACACACAGGCAGCCGCAGTTACAAACCCTTCCCCTTCCTGCTAAAGAGACTTTCAATGGAGTTAAAAGACCAGTGCCTTTTTTCTCTTCCATGTTTTTGTTCCCCTTCATGTTTCTCTGTCTTCTCTTTGGGAGCCAGACATTTAAGAACTAGGACACTCAAAAGCAAAAACATAGATGGGAGGATTGAGAAGTCATCACATAAGTCCAGTGAAAGGTACAGGCTCAGGAAAGACTGAAGAAATCACAGCTTTACACCTCAAGCTAAACACCAGCACAGAGACTGCGGCAATCAAAAACCAACAGCAAATCTGGGGGATGGGAGAAAATCTCATCTCCAAGGTGACCATGGTTTATAATTCAAATCTCCAGTTTAAAAAAAAAGTCTCAAAGCAGGCAAAAAAAACAAGACAGCATGGTCCTTTCAAAGAAAAAAAATCAAGGGCAAAAAACATTCTTGAAAAATACCAGACAGTAAGTTTACTAAAAATTTTAAAACAAGGTGGGGGGGGGCAGTGTAATGAGATGGAGGACCTGCCTAGCATGCATTAGACTGAGTACTGGGGGAAAAAGACTTCATAACCGAAATGAAAATTACTAGAAGAATTTGAGCAGGCAGAAGAATCGGTACACTTGGAGATTCAGCAATTGACGTTATCAGTTTGAGGAACAGAAAGAAAAACACTTAAATAAAATGAATAGAGCCTATAAGGCTACTATCAAAGGACCAAGATATGCATTGGAGAAGCAAGATCCGCACTGGAAAGCAGCACAGCAGCTCCTCAAAAAGTAAAAACTGAATTACTCTAGTATCCAGGCACTCTGATTCAGGGAATAATCCCAAAGAACTGAAAGCAAGGTCTCAAAAAGGTATATATGTACCCATGTCCAAAGCAGCGTTATTCACAATAGCCAAAAGGCAGAAGCAACCTGTGTTCACAGAGGAATGGAAAACCAAAATGTGGTGTGCGCATCTACGATGGAGTATTACTCAGTGCGAACAGGGAGAGAAATATGGACCTATGCCACACCATGTATGAACTCTAAAACATCACAAAAAGGCACGCACATGTATAATTTCCCAGCTATGCAGTCCAGAGTAGTCAGATTCAGAGAAAAAGTGGAATGATGGTTGCCAGGGTTTGGGTAATGAGGGTAGGAAGAAGTGATAGGTAGTGGGCACTGTTTAGTTTTGCCAGCTGAAAAGACTTTTGAGAGTTGGATATACAACAGTATGAAATGTACTTAACACTTGAAACTACACTTAAAAATGGTTAAGATGGCAAATTTTATGTTACTTGCATTTTTACTAGAATTTTTGAAATTAAAAAATACATGATCCAGATAGTCACTATTTAAAATGGTTTTCCCTTCACCTAATATTAGTTCTACTCAGAAAAAATAAAAATTATTTCATTACAATGTATGCACATATTAACAAGCACTTTCCAATGGTTGTAAATTTTTCATACTTCACAAAATGCATCTGTATCCCAAAAGATTACCACACAGGAGTCTACACCTTTCAGTCAAATTAGGCTCATTCCAACTAAGTCTCAAAAGAAAATAAAAATATAAAATGCAAATAAATACAGTGTAGCACTGGTGAATTTTTGCTACTGTTCCGTTTATTTTCACTTATGTTCTTTACCTAACCAAGCAGGAAATTACTATCAAAATTCACTTTCATTTTAGAGAAGAAAAACTTCTAAACTTGGCAATCATAAGAAATCCAACTAAGAACTAGCAAAGGGAAAACACAGATAGTGGTAACTGTATAAATGAATACCAATAAGGCAAAGCAGCTGTTTTCCACAGCATACCCCTGTCAGCAGTTGTGATATAAAACACAAAACTTCATGTAGCAACATACTTAAACCATACTCATTTTTCATCATCACTATAAATTATACACCACAAAAGTCACTCTTTTAAAGTGTACAATTTGATAGTTTGTAGCACAACAACAAAGTTGTGAAACTATCACAGTCCAAAACATTTTCATCACCCATAAAGAAATCCCTATCTCTTACAGCAGTGGCTACCCCAAAAATCCTGGAAATCAGAAAGGTATTTTTTCTTTATAGATTTGCCTTGCTGGACACTTCAGATAAATGGAACCATCTGTGATCTTTGGTGCTGGTTCCTTTCATGTTTTAAAATTTAATCCACAATATATACATCTTGTTTATTCATAGCTGATGGACACAAGTTCTTTCTACTTTCTGGCTATTATGAGCGGTACCAGTTTTACATGGACATATGCTTTTAATTCTGTTAAGAGTCAAATTGGCAGGTCACATGATAATTTTACATCTACCTTTTTTTTTCCTATGTAGTCCATGCTGAACTTCTCCTGCCTCAGCCTCCCAAACGCTAGGATTACAGGCATATACCATTACAGGCATGCAGCTATATCTAACTTTCAAAGAAATTACTAAATTGTTTTTGAGTGGCTACAACATTGCACATGTGTACTAAGACTATATCCCCAAAGGACCCCCATATCCTCACCAACACTTGGCACAGTATACCTTTTTGAATACTAAGATGCTAGTAAGTGTGTAGTGGTATCTCACTGTGATCTTGGTTGTTTGAGACAAGGTCTTGCTATTCAGTTTAGGCTGGCCTTGAACTCCTATATAGCTCAGCCTGGCCTCCAACTCACACAGATCCTCCTGCCTCAGCCTCCTGAATGCTGAAATTACAAGCATGCATACCAGATGCATACTTCATCTGTCTGCTTTTAATTTGCATAAATGTCTATTTAAATCCTTTGTCAAGTTCTTCACTGGGTTGTTTTTTTCCCCCTCAATACTAAGGATTGAACCCAAGGCCTTCACACACTTCACACCATGCCCAGCCCTTTTTGTTACATTTTATGTTGAGACAGGGTCTGCTAAGTCACTAAATTGCCTATACTACACTCTAACTTGTGAGCTTTTTGCTTCAGCCTACCAGAGTACTGAAGTGTATAGTCATACACTACCATGACTAGTTCGTAGGTGGTCTTTTTACTGTTGAATTAGAAAAGTTCTCTGTATATTCCTCAACTATATGACTTGCAAATATTTTCTCTGATTCCATGGTGGTTGTTTCCCCTTCCTCATGGTGTTTACTTGTTTCGTTTGAGACAGGCTCTAGCTATGTACTTCAGGCCAGTCTTAAACACTTATGTATACCAGGATGGCCTCGAACTGCTAGCCATTCTGTCTTAGTCTCTGCAGTGCTGGGATTCTAGTTGTGTACACCATGCCCAGCCTCGATGGTATTCTTTGAAGGATAATAGTGTTTAATTTTGGTCACTGTCCAATTTATCTATTTTTCCCTCTGTTGCCTGTGCTTTTATTTTCCTGTCTAAGAAAACCACACCTTTTAATATTAATGCACATCAACAGGAATGAATTAGAAAACAACTGGTAGACAATTAAGAGTGAAAATAAGAAAAAGAATTGAGAACTCAACCTCTGAACCACTCTTCTTGCAAAGAAACCAAATATATAATAAATACATCCAGTAAAGTACCAACTAGGAAATACAATGCTAATGTATCTGTCCAAAGTCTGGCCCCTGGACTAACCAGTGAAAAGGAGAAGAGTAAGTAATATGTTCCAATCAGTATGGTAAGGTAAAATTTGACTGTTTTTAGGTTATCTTCAAAATTATAAAGTATTTTTAGACATGTTTAAGGTTTTTATCTGTAAAATTATAAAGTATTTTTAGACATTAACTTGCTTGCTAAAGGCAAACACTTACCTACTAAGTAATTCTAGTCCAGCTGAGTACTTTGGCAAATACTGAACAGTCCTGCTGAAAGAAACATTTCGTTAAAACTGTTTCTAATTTAGCCAATTAAAAAAGTTACAAAAATTCTGTCATTGGTAATGGAAAGATATTTTGAAACAACTAATGACCCAGAAACACATTTCTGGGTTAATAAACTACAGTATTTCATCTGTCCCCTTCTCCTACAGACTTGTATTTTTAACACACAATAATACAAAAAGCATTTTAGCACCATGCTAGATAAAAAGAATAAATATGCATGATCAAGGCCCACCATCTCTGAGTTGAGAGTGAAATTTGTTGATACTTTGCTTTACTAAAAAATGAGAAAATCCACAATTCTGGCGTTTTCATAATAAAACAGGTAACATGGTTCAGGAAACTCATTTGCCAAGTTCTATTTCATTATTCATCTGCCTCTCAATAATGTAGGCCATTTACACTGGTCTTATTATAACACATGTAAAAAGCTACCTGTGACTAAGTAACAACTCTCTCTTCTCACAAACTAAAACACTGTGACATTTTTTCAACCAGTTCACAATTTCATCAGAAAAATTTCCTATGACACCAATTTAGAATCAATAAATTGTTTTGTAGTCAGATATACTGTACTCTAAAACCCAGAATAATTTTACAATTATGTATACAACCAAGAATTATAAGAAATTCAATGTATATTAAATTAAAATCTTAGTATGAACTTACCTGGGTTTGCTTTTGACTTTCACTTCTCTGGATTTGTCACTTAAAGTCTTCAACCTGTAATTCAACAAGCATAAAATGTATTTTTATAGGTCAAGAGATGTTTAACTATAAGTTTTCACAGCTGCTACAGCTCTAGTTGCCATAAGCTAATTTTTTTGAAAGCAAGAACTAAGCATCTTTAAGGCAACCAATATCTGAATGTTTACTATATGTCAGATTATGATAATAAGTACAAAAATTGGTAGCAATTTTTTTTTTTTTTTTGTCTTTTTGAGACAGGGTCTCTCTAAGCAGTTCAGGCTGGTCTTGAGCTTACTTTGTAACCTACACTAGTCTTGAACTTGCAAGGATCCTCCTTTCTCAGCCTCCTGAGTGCTGGGATTACAGGCGTGAGCCACCATGCCTTTTTTTTTTTTTTTTTTTTGGTGCTGGGAATTGAACTCAACCTCATACTTGCCAGACAGGCACTTATGCCATTGAGCTAAATCCCCAGCCCCTGCCCCCTTTTGCAATTTTTATTTTTACTTCTCCAAAATCTCTTAAGAAACAACTGCTAAATATCAGCAGAGAAAAAAAATTTATCTGGGTTATGGCTGTGTCTAGATGTCCCCCACAAACTTCATGCAGTCACAGGTGGTGTTTTCAGGGGTGGCTGAACCTGTGTGATGCTCGCATTCATAGTGCAGTGCTAGCATCAAGGCCACTAGGATTAAGGGTATGAATGCTACCACCCTAAGTACCTGGATAAGATACAGGGGATAGAAAGAGCTGTGGCTGTCCCTTGCTCGCTTTACCACCTTCTGCCTTCCATGAATTGTTTCTCCTCTGGGATTCCCCTCTGTTATGGCACCCTGCCTTGGACCGAACTGTGAGCTAACCTTTCTTCCTCCAATTCTGGGTATCAGGTATTTTGTCTTAGCAGCAAGAAAAGTAATTAAGACAATCTGATTATCATTAGAAAAAGTAATAGTTCATATAAGTAAACTTGAGGTAATAAAAATAAATATACAAAAATAAAGCAGCATCTCTTAGTAAGTACATACTGTCCCACACACTCAAATATCTTTAAGCACCTACATTATTAAAACCTTATTTAAAAAGAGCTTCTTAAAACACTCTGCAAATGCTTCCCATTAAAAGGATGTGGTGTGGCCCATTTAACGTTACCCCTGGGTTATTATTATAAACACCTGTCTACACCTTGCCTTGCAGCCAGATAGAACTTCCTTCAAATGGCTTGATCTAGGAAGGCAGCTTCATTTGCTAACCTGAAACCAAACTCTGGTGAGTCTGTATTTGGGCCCCCGTATCCATTTTTTTAAATTTCCTGTCTTCGCTATTTGTCAGCTGGTCATCATGGTCACTCACTGCTTCTGCTAGCTATTTGCTACACCTACCTACCAGCCTCCTATCCTTCTATATGCTGTTTTAAAGGATTTGGCTAGAGCCACGCCTGTAATACCAGCACATGGAAGGCTGAGGCAGGACTGTCACAAGTTTGAGGCCAGCCTGGACAATACAGGGAGTTCAAGGTCAGCCTGGACTACACAGCAAGTCCTTATCTCAAAAAAAAAAAAAAAAAAAGATTACACTAGAAATCATAAACTGGCTACCACTGCACACTGAAAGTGCCAAGGTTCTTCTAAACAAAGTACAATGTTCACAGACTAATTTATTTTTGCTTCACTGGCCCAGTTTTCAGTTGCCTATAAACTTCAGATAACAGCTTGGCAACAAATATTCATTTGACTGGGCCAAGCATCTGGCTCAGTGGCATAAGTACCTGCCTGGCAAGTACGAGGTCATGAGTTTGATCCCCGGTACAGCAAAAAAAAAAAAAAAAAAAAAAGAATGAGACTGTGAGAGTTTGAGACAGCTCACAAAGACAAGGCTGTACATGCTCTTTTAAATTTGACAAGGGCCAGGGATATGGCTCAGCAGCATGACGCCTGCCCGGCAAGCACAAGATCCTCAATTCAATTCCTTGTTCCAAAAAAATTCATTAATTCAACCAATATCAATATCTATAGAGATGGAGTTCTAAGGCATGAACCTACTCTTCAATTCCTCTGGACTGTTGTGTGCCACCTACACAACTATACTTGCATGCCCTGCCACAGGATTCTACCATTTTTGTCAATAATGCCTAGCCAAGCACAAGACTTCTAACCACATGTTGTGTTTAACCAAATTAGAATTTCTATTTTGTACAAAGAATTTTGTAAAGTATTCATGAGATTAATTTCTCTACAGTCCTCAAAAGATTTCAGCATTCTTTAAGTATAAAACTAATTTGTGTGTATCTCTCTAGATGAGTCTAGGGAAGTACATAAAAATTTCATCCATCCCAAAGAAACATTGTAAATTTTCAAGCTTATCTTGGAAACTAGTAAATCCAGTTTAAATAAGAATTAAACAGGGCTGGGGATTTAGCTCAGTGGCACAAGCCCCTGCTTGGCAAGTGCAAGGTCATAAGTCCTATCCCTGGTACCAAAAGGAAAAAAAAAAAAAAAAGAATTAAAAGCTAGTGAAAGATATTTGTATAGTCACGCTTAATAATTTCTACTCCAAAATCTAAGGAATTCCATTATTACATATCAGGTATCTTCTCAGGACAATTATACACAGTAGTGCATCATACCCAAAATGCTTCTAGGATTTAGTGCTTTGAGATTGAAGCACTAGGTGTAAAATGGAACTGTTAAGATCCTTTCTGTACCACTCTTACCATAGAATCTAGCAAATCTCTAGGTTGGCATTTCAAATACGTATTTCTAAAATAAACCTCTGATTTCTCAATTGTAATAGATCCAGTTTGGGACACCCTCTTTCATCACCGCCACCTCCCCAACAAAACAAAGAAAAAAGTTTGGAATAACAGGGGAAAAGATGTTGTAGGAAGCCAAAAATAAACCTGCTAGAAGATTCCATAAGACGTTCCCCATGTGGCTCCTTAATCACCATCTGTTCTAAAAATTGGGCTTTAACCAAATATAATGTGTGGAACTTATTTGATGTGGATTTGAAGAAGCCAGCTGTAAAAAGAGATTTCTAAGAACCAAGAAAACCTCATTATGGAATGGATAATTGATAACATCAAGGAATTGGTATAAATTTTATTAGCTACAATACTGGCATTGTATTTATGTAATAACTTCTTTCAGGAAAGCAAATAAATGAACGAGAGACAAGTCTGAAATATATAAATTAAGAGAAAGACAAAGCAAATGTAGAAGTACCTGAAAATTGCTATATCTGAATAATGGATACATGAGATTATAGTTTTGATTTTTGTGTGTATCTTCAACACTGAAAAACATTCTTAACAACAAAAATGGTCTTTTGGACACTTCTTTTCTCACATCTTCAAATAAATTGTCGATGTGCCAAAATTCAGAAAATAAACTACTGGAGAAAATAAAGTAGTTCAGGGAAATTGGAAAACACCATGAAAGGTCGTGAGAGAAAAGGACATAAAGCTACAACCATTACTATTCTTATGTTAAGATGAAAAAAAAAATAGGTATACTTGAAAAAAAAAACAAACAGAAATACATCCTTAAAACCTAGAAGTCAACTGAAAGTAGTTACCAGCTTTATTTTTAACTTTTTGGGTTTTTCTTCTGTAGGGAGTGGCTTAGAATGGCTGCTGCTGCCCTGCCCCTCCCACCTGAGGGCATTTTGTATCAGCCTACATTTCCCATGATCCTCCCCTTGCCTACAGTATGCACGGGTGAGCAACTTCCCATTTCAGCCTACATCTCCCATAATCCTCTCCTGCTTACGTCATATATCCGGATGTGATGATGACCTATCAGATAACACTCTGTGCCCTCTTCCTGCCCCACTGGCCTGCCTCCACCCATATAAGTTGTAGCCATTTTAAGAATAAAGGAGACTTGAATGGAATCCCGCCTTGTCTCCATCTCTCTTTTCTCTTGCCCAGCCCTCCATCTCCCTCCCCTCTCCAGGCGAGGCCCACAGACCAATCCGTGGGATGGATCGTTTTTCTGAAACAGGGTCTCATTATGATAGTCCAGGCTGGTCTTGAACCCACTATGTTGCCTGGCCTTGAACTTTTGGCAGTCCACCTACCTCACCTTCCTCAGTATATTACTGGGATTACAGGTGTGTGTTGTCACACCCAACAGTCTCCGTTTTTGTTCTGAAAAATTTAAGCTTCTCAGACTGATCACTTGTTGGCAACTCACCCACAGTTTAATGTCCCAGTGTCATGAAACACTGGGAAAGAAATACTGATCCAGTAGAATACCCTAGTTTTCTCAAACCTAAGATGATAGTGTTGTACTTCACCATAAAAATTTTTCAAGAATTAAATAAAATTAAATATGACTTTGGTGGCATTCCAGGAAGCAGCACTTGTGTAACAAAAATTATCGCTATTAAGATTGAGAAACCTGAAATAAAAATGCGCTAATTCTTATAAACCACTTTTGCTGGCTGAGTCCAGTCTTCTTCCTAACACCATATGACCCCTGGAAGACATAAGCACTGCTATGAGTATATTACTAGAGATTTGAGTCTGAAATTATTTTTAATGACAACTAATGCACACTTTCATGGCACTAAACCTCAAATTCATTTTAACAGTTCAATAATTTTATTTTTAGATAGTTCTGAAGATGTGCCTTAATTTGATACCAGCATTATTTTATTTCTTCAGGTTTTGGAGAAAATACAAAAATGGAGGCCTCTTACTAAGAAATAGAAGTGATCTGCAAAACTGGTTTGAAAAGATGATGATAACTGAAAGATGCATGGCACACTACAGTGACTGTGAGATTTCCTAGCTGACTCAACATGGGGTGACCTGAGAGGTATTTCCTTTGTGTGTACCTCAATTTCCAACTGCCTACATCATCAGCTCTTAGGAAAAGGGAAGATGATTGCTTTAAAATGCCACAAAAACATGAGCCGGCATATTTAGTAAATAAGACTCAATTACTGTTAAACTATATTCACGCTTCCATTACTTTAACCTTAAATTGTTTGTAACTTCAAATCCAAGCTATTGTATTTTCCACATTAGCGTCTATCAATGCTCTCACTCTCTCTCTCTCTCTCTCTCTCACACACACACACACACAGAATAGCAAAAGCATTAATCACAGGCCAAAGCAAAAATGACCCCTAAGCTCTAAAGCTTGAGAAATCAATATAAAAACACCCAGATTCAGAAAAGAGAATTTAGTCTTTCCCCTAATTAGTCCCAAATATATCACCCTCAAGTCTGACCTCTCTCCTAAATGTCTTCAATATCCAACTGTTTTGATGCCAAATTCATTGTCAAACGTTTCTTCTCCTTCAAACCCAGTTTTATGTTGCTATAAGCCATCATTTATCTAAAATATTTCAAAATCAACATTCTAAAGATCTGCACCTTCATCTCCCACATCTCACTGCTGACAAATTGGCTACTGCTTGTCCCATCCTTTCTTCTTCTAAATTTCTATCAGCACTGCCTCATTGTCTCATACCTGGCCCACAATGACAGCCTCACTCCCTGTTCCCTGACCTCAGGCTTCTCATCACTGCCTTCCAAGTTACTCTCACAGAATACAGCAATATTTTTCCAGAAATATGTGTAGGCCTCTCCTCCCGTAGCCTTACAACCTGCAAAGATACTCCCCTTGAGGGGTATCCTGCCACAAGGGTGAGTGCAGGAAACTTCATGCTATCTGTTTGCACTCTGCTAAATCTTCAGCACCTAAGCATAGTGACTGCCACAAAGCAAGAACTCCATAAATATTTGATAAATTACAGTAATTAAGCAAAGCATTAAAGATACCCTAGTATCAGACAAGGAATTCCTTTCCAGCTTCATCTCTGAAATGCCCTTATCCAAATCTATCACAACAGCTCCCAATTCCTCAAAGCCCCGTTTAGAAGACACTTCTTCTTTATAGCCTTGTGTAACTGCATCCAAATTATGGACTTTCTTTTAGGTTTGCATCCCACATCACTGATGTCTTCAACATGCACCTTCCTCTGCTCCGAGGAACATGAGTTTCACTCAACATGGTGGCCCCAGGATCCAGCCCAATGTACACCCACTGAGTAGTAGAGAAAGAGAAACTGAGTGTATAATCTCTCGCCTTTAAACTTCTATGAAAAAGAACACTTTTGAGCACCTAATCTGGTGTTTGGCACTTAGCAGAAACTCAGAAAATATTTGTTATATGAAGTTGAACACTGATGGGCTTCCCATTTTACTAAAAAAGAAAAATTCTGGAAAAAACATTTCAGGTAGACTTTCTCGACAATGTGAATTCCTTTAGTGGCGCCTCTCCTATTTCCAGGCTTTGACACTATGAGAGGGGAGGAGAGAAAATGAAGATTCCAGATGGGGCGGAGTGGGGACAGTGACAGTTTGGAGGGGGCAATACCTAGTTGCAAAAATAATAAACAGATTTTTTCATTCCTAAGCATAAGAACCCAAAGTATTACACACAAGAAAATCATAGCCTGTGGCAGGCAGCTGTAATCCTTTGGTAAATCTTATTTTCAGTTCTCTGAAAGGCTTTGTATGCCTAAACACCTCAGTCTTGAGTCCTCTGGTCATAACTTCCCCAAAGGTAAAATCCAAAGACACAAGTGAATTTTGTGCTTTCATACATTCAGTTTCCCTCAGAGTTCAAGTCAATTCCTAAAGAAAAAAAAAAAATGGAAATTGTAAGTGAAATGTCCAAAAGAATCTAAGAATTGAATCAAGTCCATTGAGAACTCAGTGAGGGGAAAGATCTCTGCCTGAGGCCCGGTACCAAAGTCTGCCAGTTCCTGAGCCTTAGGTTTGCCCACCATCCATTTTAGAACCAAACAATGTGATCTAATCATAGTATTGTGTGTCCCGGTAGTGACGTAATTGTTGGTATGAATAAAAATTTACAGAAGTTTTACAAGGGGCTGGGAACACAGCTCAGTGACAGAGTGCTTCCTAGCATGTGCAAAGGCCAGGTTCAATCCCCAGCACTGCAAAAGCCAGAAGGCCACATGTCCCTAAAGAAACCTCAGTGCCAAACCATCAGTAATCCACCCCACAATTGTAAGCAGCATTGGCCTCAAAATCATGGCAATCCTTCTGCCTTAACTTCCCGAGTGCTGGGAATACAGGAATGTATACTCTACCATGCCCAGTTTACTGCATTTTATGAAGGCTTTGTCCCTACGAGCATGGATTCTGAACCACGCCCAAACCATCCTGGGAGAGCTGGTAACCCTAAAGGTGTAGATTTACTCAGGGAGAGAGACAGAGGGGATCTGGTTAGAACCCTTCAAAAACTGACTGAAGAATTCTAACCAGATTCCCTTCAGAAATTGACTGAAGAGTTCTAACCAGATCCCCTCAGTCCCTTTCCCTGAATAAACCCTAAACCTTTAGGGCTATCCAGATCTCCCAGGACGGTCTGGGCCTGGTCCAGAGTCCACACTCCTAGGGACAAAGCCTTCTTATCCAAAGTTCAGGAGCACAAGGGGTTGGGAAGCAGTCACAGGACCTGAAAAGTTACAGCAACTACTCAAACAGGGGCATGGCCACTGAGGAACTCTTTAAGCAAGGGAAACTAGTGTACCCAGATGGGCTAGTTACTACAAGTAGGCCACTGCAACATAAAGCACTTTTTAAAAAAAGTACACTCTGAAAAGTAACTTTTTCTAAATTCATAGGAAGAAAAAAATTGCAAGCACACCCATCAATGACTGCTGAACATACATAATTAACACACATAGACATACTTTAGGGCCCAGGGCCCACAATGAGCTACATCCCTAATACTTTGAGAAAGAGTCTGGCAAAACTGCCCAGGCTATGCCAAACTGGCCATTTTCCTGCCATTGCCTTTCACAGTACACGACTTACCGGCACGTGTAACCACATTTGCAGCTCACTGTTAAAATTCTTAAAAACACCAAACTAATATCACAGATACTTTATATGTGGCAAGAGCTGGAAGAATTTGCTAGTTTGCTACTATTTAATAGGCAAACCCTTTTGGTCTGAAGTAAAACGTTTCGTATCTTTTTCCCCTTAGGAATTTAAAACAGCATGACTGGGACGCCCTCACCGTTCTAAAGGATTTGTTAAACTAAAAGTGACACTTTTCTAAAGTAACCAAAAAAAAAAAAAAAAAAAAACTGAACTAAGCACTAGTTAACAATCAATCCTCTCCACAACTCCCTCAGGACCACCATTATCCCATTTTACAGAAATAGTGAAAGGAAGACAGTGTGAATCTGTTGGCACGGAAGTGAGCAGCCCGGCGGCCTGGCTCTGGGTCTCCTTCCCCAACTTGGCCGCACCCGGGATCAGCTCCACGCCTGGGCGTGGTTTCAGAGCCATCCGGTGCGACCTGGGGAGTACGGGAGGTTAACGCTGGGAAGCTCCGGGTCACCAGGCAGGCACGGCATTGCCACGGTTCTGTCACTGCCACTGCCCAGTTCCGCCCCCGAGACGCAGAAGCAGGGCGCAGGCAGAGCGGCTAAAGGGATGCGGGCAGCGTCGCCCGCCTAGGCCGCCAAACTCGGTCCCGGGGAGCGCGAGCCGGCAGGTGTCCCGGGACGCTGGAGGGCCGCGGCGGCGGGGCCGGGGTCCCACACAGGGGACGGAGGGAGTGTCCTCGCATCCCGGGTGGCGAGCCGGAGCCAGGCGGTGACACCAAAGTTACTTTGCGCCACCGGACGCGCCGACGCCGGGAAGTTCGTTACTTTCCTCGGCGGCCCGGGACGGGGAGGTGCAGGGCGCAGGAGCTCACAGCAGGGCCGTCCCGGGCCGCAGCGCCCTCGGGCCCCTTCCGGTCGCCCACCGCGTACCCACCCGGAGGTGAAATCCTGCTGCACGCTCAGCAGCCGCTCGCGCAGGGTCTCCAGCATCGCCGCCGCCTACGCCGCGTCGCCTCCCCTCAGGCCTCGCGCTGTCACCGCCTTGGCCGCTGCCCTGGTCCCCGCGCGCCGTCCCCTCACCTGCCACCCCCGCGCCCGCAAGCCCGGGCCGGCCCCGCCCCCCGGCTCGGCCCTCGCCGCACGCCGCAACCTAGCGCCTTCCGCGTTCCCGCCCCGCCGGCCGCTAGCCTCGCCCCACCCCCGCGGCGCGCCAGGCTGCGCAGCCGCAGTGGGGTCCGCGGGGGGAGGGGCAGAGAGGGGGCGTTGTCTCCTCGTGCTGAGCGGGCGTGATCTCTTAGGGTCTTTTCCCGGCGGCGGCTGGGCCTTCGCTGTTGTTTTCATTACAGTGGCTGCAGCTTCATGAGACTGCGATTTGATTAGAGGGTTCCTGTGGGGGACGCGCTATGTTTTACAGTTTAGAAGAGGCCTGTCCCCTTCTTTGTAGCCAATCATTTCTTGGATTTAGGGTCCGGGAGTCTGACTCTCCAGATTAATTTGGGAAGAGATAGTTAACCATGCCAAGCCGCTGTTTCTTCATGAATAAAACCAGAGTACTATATAACCTAAAGGAGGATGCTACTAAGGAAGAGGCTGGGGAACCCAGAAGATTCCCCGCCATGTCACTGTTTGAGGTCTTTCAGAGTAATTACTAAGGCACCATAGTGCTTCAAGTGGCAGGAACCCAGCTTAAGTTTGCACACTTACTAACTTATTTGTGATCTTTAAAGCTGACATGTAGCATTTTTGGCATCTGTATTTTCAAAGAGTTTAAAGATGCCAGAAAACACATGTTAAAGCTATAAACTTCTTGAAATGTAAGGATCATATAAGATAAGCTAGATAGTACTGGCAAGGCGACCTCTGTATGGCATTTTGAAAACGAAAGCAGAAATGGAAATCTGGAAATTGGGAAATGCAATAAATAGGAACAAAGATAGAATGCAGCTGGGGAACACAGGAAAGAAGTAGGAAGAAGACCTTAAAGCCTAAAGACTGAAGCTAAGAGCCCGAGTGAAATCCTGGACAGGAAAGTGGGGGATGAGGATCTGACTGAGCAAAACTGACAGAACAGTAAAAGGCATCTCTGCTGCAAGTTTTTGCAGTCTCACCTTCCATCCCACTCAAATAGAATGGAACCAGACTCTTTATCTTTTTGCTCAGATGAAAAAAAGTACTATACCATGCATGAAAAAAGAAAATCAATCTCTCTCTCTCTCTCTCTCTCTCTCTCTCTCTCTCTCTCTGGTTAATCAGTTTCATCCATATGATCTATATTATGGTGCCATCTATAAAGTATTCATAAACAACCAGGTCACTCCGTTTATCAAAGTGTAGGGATCCCATGTGAAAAGGAGACTACAGCCTGCACTTTTACCAACAACTCATTTCCCCTAGAAATTTTTTTGTTTTTTGTTGTTTTGTTTTGTTTTTGATATCTGACATCAAACTCACAACCTTGCCCTTGCCAGGCAGGCATTTATGCCACTGAGCTAAATCCCTGGCCCCCCTTTGCCCTAGAGAAAGTGTAACTCAGAGAATACATCTTCTGAACCACTATGGTATAGAATTACCTATGAGCGGGAGACCCTAATAACATACTGAAACTCTTTAAAAAGAATTAGGAACAAAAAATGTTTGAAACAATTATTGCCTATAGTAAGGTTTCAGCTTAATCCAGACAGGAAGGAAAACCCTAATAATTGGGCATTATTAATTAAAATAATTGATAATTATACTCACAGTCGATTCTTAAGCCTGGCTGTGCCTTTGAATCACATGAAGAATATTTTTAATTAGCAATAGCTTGGTTCAATTCAGAGCTTCTGATTTAACTGGTCTGAAGCAGTATCTCATCCATACTGTTTAAGAGCTTTCCAGGCATCTTAGCCACTTTCTCATCTCTGGGACAAAATACCTCACACCCACAATTTACAAGAGGAGAAGTTTTTCTAGGCTCCCATTTTCATTTCATAATCAGGCTGGCTCCAAAGTGGAAAGAGTCTGGCAGAGGAAAGCTCCTCATGTCATAGTGCTTAAGAAGCAGAACAAAGGGAGGATTCTGGGAGGAAGAGCTCATCCAGGTTACACCTTAGTTACCTCTAGTCAGGCCCTGTTGCCTAACTCAGCTGCTGAACTCATGTGAATGACTCTTCTGTGAGTGTAGTGCCCCCCCCATCCAATCACCTTCCCACACCTCTCCCTTTGAGCACAGGAGTCCTAGGCACCATTCTAGAGCTAAACCAGAATGTCAGTTGATTCCCATGTGCAGCTAGGGCAGTCCTGAGCTACCCTACAGGGGAAGGAGCAGGAGCATTTGTTAGAACAGTTCTAGTATCCCAGAATCCGTGAATCTATTCTCAATTTCAGAAGTCAGAGTTGTGCAAATGCTCTTCAGCTTCTGAAAGGATTATATTCTGGTCAAACCCATAGCAGGTCATAAGTCAAAAAACACAGTACAATTACAGCATGGGCGTCCAACTTTTTGGCTTGCCTGGGCTATATTCCTAAGGAGGAATGGTCTAGGGCTACGTATAAAATATGTATTGTAGTAAGTAATGTATATAAGTGACAAAACTTACTTTTAAAACATTTTTGTATAACAGGAAGGCAATAGAAACATAAAAGTAGTGGGATATTTGACTTGCTTTTTATGAAACTAATGCAAATGGCTGGGGCGATGGAACTGGTTTCCCATGTTTAATAATTAAATGAGAAAACTTACATGTCTGTCTGTCCAATAACTGTGTTTACAGACACAAAATATGGGTAGGTAAGTCAAGACACTATTATCCATAATCATTGCATTTTACTTGGTAGGCTGCACAGCACATTAACACCTAATACACATGGGTCTCCAGCCACCATGTGGTGGGTGCAGGAGGCAGTTAGCGCTGCACTGTGCTCTGACCTTGCAAAGCTTTCAGTTGTCACCTGCTGCACAGCCCAACTTAGAGCACCATGCAATCAAGTCACTTAAAACCACACAGTGATGTTACAAGTCAATAATGTCATGGGGTGCATTACTAGCTGTCCAGAGCCACATGGGGCCTATGGACCCTGGGTGGACACACCTCTGGAATACCAGTCCCTTACCTGTGATCCAGGACTGACCAGGCTCTGTGCTACTGCCCAACCTCAGGAGAGAGGATCATACTGCATACTACTAGCCTGGAGTAGATATAAACTCAACCCTAAGTGTGATGTCTACCAAATGTTTTGCACCATTGTGTCAAGTCAATCATCCTAAGTCGAATCATTGTAAGTTAAGGACCATCAGTAATTTGCCTTCACCTTTTCCAGCTCATTGTAAAAGGCCCCAACCCGTTACTACCTTAATAATGCTTGGTTCTCTGGACTGTTGGCCTGAGTCCCTGCAGCCTTCACCTGGCTCACTTTTTCTTTCTTTCTTTCTTTCTTTTTCTTTCTTTCCTTCCTTCCTTCTTTCCTTTCTTCCTTCCTTCCTTCCTTTCATTCTGTGTGTGGGTGTGGTCCTGGGGATTGAATCCAGGATATCACACATACTAAACAAGCACTCTACCACTGAGCTACAACTTATACCTTTTTAAATTTTATTTTGAGACAGGGTCTTACTAAGTCACCCGGGTTTCCAACTTGTGATCCTTCTGCCTCAGCCTCTTGAGAAGCTGGGATTTCAGGCATGCAATGCTGCTACCACTTTCTGCTGGTAGACCCTGAAGACAACAGCGAACAGTGAAAGTGAGGAAAAAGATAAGCCAGTAGGTAGGCAGAGGAAGCAGTATCTCTGTCAGGTGGCCAAGAATGGGACTGTGCTTGGGTTACTCCAAGGAAGCAATCTATTTATAAGGATTCTTACTCAATAAATGGAGAAAACTTCAAAACAATTGTGTTTGGGGATAGTCAGACCTCCTAGAACTGGAAAGCTCTTGTCCGTTGATAAAGCTCAGGAATGTGGCACTTTGGCATTTGAGAAAATGGCAGAAAGTGCTCTCTAACCTCCCCACACTGCCCATCTTCTCTGAAGTAAGATTTAAGTTCGTCATGTGACAGCTTCTCTCCCTGTATCCAGAGGAAAAGAGTCAAAGATTCTGAGAGGCCAAGAGGAATCTGAATACACAGGCCTTACTAACCATTCCCGCCCCCAAATTCATTACCATTAGAACAAACCCCTTTCACACTTTACTAGAAGAAGCATGCATATAGCAGGGTCCCCGTAGTGGGGACAAGTCATCTTGGAGCAGTCTATCTTCTAGGCAGAATCACTCATGTGACTTCTTGTAGTCATGCTGATAAATGCAAACAGCCATTGTTCTAGGGAAGGATGCGAGAGAACAAGCATAAAGGTGGTGGTGAAGAGGTGGGTCCATGCGGTCATGGAGCCTCTTGAAAGGGTAGACATAGGACTTCTAACTCTTTCTGTTTTCAAACCATCTAACACAAATAACTCCCATATGTCAAAGTGGTCAGTGAGATCATCTGACTCGGGAAATCTAAGGGGAAACTCATCTTGTTGAAAGAGAAAGAGCAGAAAGTGGGGAAAATAGAAAAAGTTTGCACAGGTCACCTGAGCCCAGAGAATAATCTAAAGTCTATCAGAGAAGGACCGCTGAGCATAGTAAAGGTTCTGTAAGTAAGGGTGGAAAATGTGTGTGTGTGTGTGTGTGTGTGTGTAGACCTGAGTCGCTGGAGATAATATCATTGGAGCACAAGATAATTTAGCATGCAATAATCGATTTTAGCACAAAAGAACCAACTAGTTGGCAATTCTCTTATGTCCACAGCAAATAATATGAATTTTGATAGCTCTAGTTGGTAATTCTCTAATGTCCACAGCAAATAATATGAATTTTGATACTAACCAAGGAAAAGCAAGAGTCTTTTTAAGTTTTTGACTTTATTATGGAAGAAGAACCCCTAAGAAAGGAAGAAAGCCATTCAAAGACAAGTGAGTTGGAGATAAACTTGAGTAACAAATTCCTCAAGAGAGGGGGTGATAAATCCAGACCTAGTTCTGTTCCTGCCTCCCCTTGCCTGCACTGTTTTTGGGTATGGCCTGGGAAGCATGGGTCATAATAGTGTTTCTCTTTTTAAAATACTTTGTCTACTCATAGGGAACCATAAGCCATCCTGCTTCCAGCTTTTAAT